GGAGAACGTGCGTCAGAAAAAAGACCTCAAGTAAAGGCTTATCCCACCCCCGGTCCACCATCGGAGCGAGCAGCTCGGGCTCGTTGACATTCTGAGATACTAAGCTCACATGCAGGGTTTTATAAAGCGAACCAGGGCACGGTGCAAGCCAGTAGATCAAAGTGAAACCCAGTAATCAGGATGCGTGCGCTGTCATATTGTAGCGAAAACGACGCGACAGGGGGGTAGACGTTTATTGCACACCGAAAATGGGCACATGAGGGTCTCACGCGCGCCATCGAATATCGACTAGATTTCCGTCCCACCACGCAACACAGGTACGGATGTTAGAGACGAGCCAGTCCTTTCGCCTCGGGAGCTCTGACTTGGAAGTCCCGCCTTCATGTTTTCGCCTCGATCTCCACTTCTCTGTACCCGATTTGGATCGGCCAGGAGTCGTTCGAGAGCTCTCGACTTGCTTGTTCTGGGCTGTGTCAATCGGCTCGGCGTCGGTCCTGTGGGCTGCGCTAGCGGCGTATATGTCTGATTTATTGCGCTGTCCACATATTCCCGCTCCGTAGTTCCGGGCCCAGGCTCGTCGCTAGCCGTCCCTCTCGATCCGCTCTCAGCTAACTCCGAAGAGCTCCCCCGAGGCATTCTTGGAAGCGGCCCCTCTACACCCGTTCCTCCTCGAGGACCTTTCTTCCTCTCGTACCATGGTCGCAGGAGAGCAGCATTCACCCAACGTTTCATTCCTCCGCAGTCGATTAAGAAGTTGCCCGCTTTCTGGTCGATAATGGTGTAGGGGCCTTTCCAGCGATTTCTGAACTTGCTTGCGCCCGGCCCGTCATGATCCGGCCGGTCGTTGTCCCGTAACTTGACTCGTTCTCCAATCCTGAATAGCCTCCACTTGTGAGCTTCATGCCTGGCGTCGTAATTTCGCTTATTCCGCGCTTGTCGAGCTTTAGTTTCGCTTCTAGCTTTCCCTCGCAGTCGCTCTTGATGCCCAGCTGGATGTTTCCGCTCACCCTGGTTCGGTAGGCAAGTATCGAGCGCAATCCGTGGTTCTCTGCCGAACAGTAATTCGAATGGCGCGACCTTGGTGGTTGATTGCATGCTGGTCCGATACGCGATCAGAACCTGAGGCAAAGCATCTTCCCATGCCAACTTCGTGCAGTTCATCCACGTCTTCAATGTCAGGTTGAGCCGCTCGGTCATCCCGTTGGTTTGTGGGTGGTACGGTGAAGTTCGCCGTCTCTGGATGCCCCACTTGTCCAACACTGCCTTAAACGCTTTTGACTCGAAGCAGGGCCCTTGGTCCGTGATGATACACTGCGGGATCCCATACCTTGCAGGCAGATTGAATTCGAATACTTGCGACACTGTCTCGCCTGTTTGGTCCTTGATTGGTATGGCTTCCACCCACCGAGTGAAGTGGTCAATCATCACTAGAATGTATCTGTTTCCTGTTCGACTCACTGGTAAGGGGCCCAAAGACGTCCAGTCCCCAACACTGAAGTGGCTCACCAACCTCCATCGATCGCATCGGCGGTCTCGGGGACTCCATCTCCCGACTCGTTTGGCAGTTTGTGCACCCCCGAATGTATGCCGCGACATCCTTCCTCATGGTTGGCCGAAACACTCGCCTCCGCAGCAATTCAAAGACCCGCTCGAATCCCATATGGGCGCCATCATGAGTTATACGCATCACACGTTCTCTCTCCAGATCCTTCCCAAATTCTGCACACAAGGCAGCCCTCATCTCAGCGAACGAACAACCGGGTTTGGCCTCTCGAGTGAGCAGATACACCGTCTTGGCTCGTCCACTCAACCGTGTGCCCAAATCAGTTAGCAAATTTGCATCCCCCTCACACCCGTGCAAGCCGCAATTCCGTCGAACTCATCGAGCCACGCCTCCACGTCACCGGCCGCAGATTGCTCCAACCGGGTCAACTCCATCGCGAATGGTCACGGCACCAGTGTAGCGAGAAAACGACACGACAGGGGGGTAGACGTTTATTGCACACCGAAAATGGGCACATCAGGGTCTCGCGCGCGCCATCGAATATCGACTAGATTTCCGTCCCACCACGCAACACAGGTACGGATGTTAGAGACGAGCCAGTCCTTTCGCCTCGGGAGCTCTGACTTGGAAGTCCCGCCTTCATGTTTTCGCCTCGATCTCCACTTCTCTGTACCCGATTTGGATCGGCCAGGAGTCGTTCGAGAGCTCTCGACTTGCTTGTTCTGGGCTGTGTCAATCGGCTCGGCGTCGGTCCTGTGGGCTGCGCTAGCGGCGTATATGTCTGATTTATTGCGCTGTCCACATATTCCCGCTCCGTAGTTCCGGGCCCAGGCTCGTCGCTAGCCGTCCTTCTCGATCCGCTCTCAGCTAACTCCGAAGAGCTCCCCCGAGGCATTCTTGGAAGCGGCCCCTCTACAATATATTATTCCCAATACGATAATCAGGCTTCAGACTTGGCAGCAGAACCTTTAGCAAGCATCGATTTGTTTAGGTACTGTGCGCAACGCGACAAGCCACGCTATGAAGATCAACTTCGCCGTTCGCTCGGTGGGTTCGCAGTTCGTTGACTGTGTTTCACATTCCGCCTTCATTTTCTTGAGAAAGGACTTCAGAATAAAGGTGGTCTCTATGGAGGTGTGGAGTACGCCTGAGGCTACCATGACATCCTTCATCCTCCTGAGAGAAGACTTTTAGCGGGAGAGTATTAGATAGCCCCACCGAAGAGGTTGATACCCTGATAGTCCTCATCGAATAGTAGGGATGCAATACGCTGGAAAATGCTTTGTCTTCAAAACTCCTCTATGCCGAGGACACGCTGTCAGAAGTTTATTGGCACTTTGGGACATGGTATTTAATGGGAATAAAGGCTCGAGCTTTACATGACCCATAGGGAAAAAAGAAATTCTGGTCAGGTCTGCTGAAAGGCCAAGCAAACTTATAAAGTGTTGGCATGGCATGTTAGCCCTATCTTCATCAGGCATATGCGGCATTTAAACGGAATGCAGGACGGCTCCAGACGTGACCTCCAACCACGCCTTCCGAAACAGCTATGGAAAGGAATCAGGTAGAAGAGGAAAAAGGAAAGAAATTCCATCAAGTAGTGGGTAGTTACCTTAGGGAATATCGCGGTGTAGCTCGGCCAGTGACAGTGCAGGTGAGTCTTAAACTCCGCCACATTGGGTGCCAAGACTTACTCGGCAGGCAGAGTGTTCCACGGTCGGCAGCTTGGCAAGGCGAAATAATGTCATCTGCAGTTCTTCCGACTGTGTTGATATGGGAGCCTCAGTAGGTGGCAACACGATTGACGCAGTGTGAGTAGGTGGCGACAGGGATTTCCAGGGTTGGATAAGCTCATAAATACAAAGATCAGGTGACCCTGGAGCAGTCGGTGCTAAGCGGGTAGAGGTTCAGGCAGTGAAGTCGTTGTTGGGGGTCCTGAAGCAATTCAGAAGGCTTTGGATAGGCTCTGGGAATGGTCTACCTTATGGTTGATGCCCATAAATATGGCCAAGTGCTCTGAGCTCCGAATCGGAGCTGCTAATCCTGCCACCCGATACGTTGTCGGCGGCGGTGAACTCCCTGTTGTCACTAAGCAGGTTGATTTAGGAGTCGTACACGCACCAGCACTTCATTCTGGAGACAACTGGAAGAAGGCTGCTTGTCGAGGGTTTCGTATGATGTGGTTTATCCGCCGCTCTTTCGGAATCTTAACGGTCAAGTTGTTTGTGAAGCTATTTTCGGCGTTCATCCGATCCCACCTAGAATATTGCATTCAGACTTGTCCACCATGTCTTAACCGAGACAAAATGGACTTGGAGAGGGTGTTTTGAGTGGGCACTCGGCTAGTGCAGGTTCTAAGGGGACAGATGTATCCTGAACGCTTGCTCAGCTTGGGTATTTACTCCATGCACTACCGAAGGATAAGAGGGGACTTGAATTTCACTTATCGTATTTTTACAGGTAAGATTGGCCCGGACTTGTCAGGGCTATTCAGTCCCACTACGTTACCTAATCCCCGCGCTTACCCACTGAAACTGCACAAACCACGGTTTGATAGGATTAGGACGGAAACTCGTCCGTCGCGCCGAGTTATAGATCTCTGGAATTGGCTTCCTGATCATGTGATTAGGGAACCAACCGTTAGTGGATTTGCGCGCCAGCTCGATGCTCTTGGGTGGCAACAGCAAAATGTTCCTTTTTCCTAGCTGACTTACCTTCACTTTTCAGTTCTTTTTTCAATGACTCAAATATCTTGGTATTCCACTTGCTTGGCTCTTTCCACTTTCTCTTTTGCCTTCTGATTTTCTTTTTTTCTTTGTCTTACTTCACGTAACCGGCCCAGCAGGCTTCTAGGGCGGGATACGTGGGCATTAATTGGTCGTACAGGGTGTGATGCGGTTTTGTTTTAGGTCCATCAGTATTTCAAATTTCGCCAACCCCTGGTTCAATGACCCGCCGAAGAAGGAACACTCACGGGATCATCCTATCGTTCCAGCCTCGCTTGACTTGAACTTGAGACCTTGGACCGGTTTTGTTGCTCCACGTTGTGAAGCTTCCAATATATGTTCTCCCTTCACCAACCGGTGGCTCTTAGCCTGAATAGCAAACTCTAGGTGGGGTTAAAGTAAAGCGTTGAGGAGCAAGTGAAAATTGCTAGGGTCAATTTAACGGAAGGCTCGTATCAGCAATCCCACCATGCGGGTAACAACAGCAGCTGCTTTTCGGCAGGAATTGGATACGGATAGGCTCGTCTGGATAATGATACCCAAGCCTTTTTTGACTAAATTCGCTCCCAGATAATATCTAGGAAAAAGCGGAAGGACGGGTAGAAATGACGCAATATTTCGAAGCATTAAATGAAAGGTTGTCGTTCAATGGATGGTTGTATACGCCTATAAATATACAGCTGTGTATTGCGGGTCTAAGCCCCGATACCTTTTGCTTAGTGCAAAATAAATACCATGCGAGCAATAATTGAACATGTGAATTTTTGCAAACAGCGTGCTAGTCGCAGTCGCTTCAGATTACTTGACTTTCCGTCTACAATTTCCGACTTCCGCCAGATGGCTTGATGCAGAATGAGCCGTAGGTGCATATATATGTTAATGTTTGCTTTCGCTTTGTAGAAAAGGATCCGAATAAGGTGGTGACGGTCACAGCGTACCTTGGACAAGGAGATAAATCTAAGGAAATTTCATACACTGACGCCAAAGTTATCGGCAATGGATCTTTTGGCGTCGTTTATCAGGCTAGACTTTGTGAAACGGACGAGATAGTCGCTGTTAAAAAGGTGTTGCAGGATAGGAGATTTAAAGTGGGTTTTCACTGTGTCTGTAACCGGCGTTATATCCGTCTGTTTTCAATGATGCTTCGCTATCCCCACATCTATCACTATGCAGATGATGGTAAATTCCAAACTTTTTCGCTTTCTGTGCAGACGGGCAGTTCTTTGGAAGTGCGCGGTGCACCCGTTTTATGTTCCTCGCGTGCATTTTCAGGTCAGTTCAGGTCACCATATCGACGAGACAGTCCGCCGAGTCCGCTGACGTTCCCCCCACAGTTCGCTGGGAGTCCGAAATAAGTTCCAATTGAACATGATACGGACTGTCAAAGAACTGTTGGAATACCTTTTGCAACACACTTTCTAGGCCTCTCCAGATGGAGCTAGGATAGTAGGACACGGTAATGCGCATCGATCTATATTTATTATTACCGTAGCTCCACTTGCTGCCTTGCTTATAACACGTGAACGCAACTAGCGCTCAATTTTGCAGAATCACACGAAGATCTTTTATTTCTGCGGAAAAATTGCATACTCCTCTCAGTCGTTTCCACTAGAAGGTTCACATTGGCACACAGCTCTATGTTGCATCCAATGTTTGACGCAGCAGCAAACCGGCAACGAATTCTCGTCAATCTGGCAACGCATTGGGAAGCGATTCTATAACATTTAGAGTAAGATATCGCACACAGTAATTCCCCCTTAAACATTGCACGTCATATATTGTAAGCAACGATAGGTTACAAATTCCAGAGTTCGCGGACAGTTTGAGGGGGACTATCAACCGACTCCTGACAGGCTCCCACCTAACGAGCGTCCTGTTTCTTGCCCCGCAAGCAAACTATGTCCCCCGGTACTCCGACCTTTGTGATTCTTCCCTTGCCTCTGCGAAAGATGCGAAGCAAGTGCAAGGGCAACCTCTGTACTTTACTTGGTCGTGGACCACGAAGCCCGCATGCCTTATTTTCAGCTGTGACAATTGTCAATATAGTCAGGTCAGTTTCAGAGGATGAAAATAAACTGCCGCCTAACGAGCGTCCTGTTTATTTTACCGAAAAGCAAGCCAGGGCCTCCAGTACTTCAACTTTTGAGTTGTCTTCCTTGCCTCTGCAGAAGAAATGAAGCAAAACAAGGGCAACCTCTGCGCTTTCTTAGGCCAAGGACCACAAAGTATATGACAATGGTCGATAAATTTACAACAATCCCTGGAAAAGATCTGGGCAATACTTATCCAGACCATCTTTGAAGGCTATTAGTGGCACCTCCACTTAAAGCAGAAGGAAGTTTGTTGAGCTTATGAACTACATGATTCGTTAAGATCTTATCCTTAATCTCCAGCCTGAACCTCTTATACCCCCCTAGGTATACGGATGCAACAAGTTCAAACGGATCGGAAGACTTGATTCCGCTGAGGTCTCTCATAATCTTGAGGGTTTTTCAGGTCACCTTGTACTCTGTGCCGCTCCATAAAGAACACTCCTAGGTCTCTTAAGCGTTCATCCTATGTTTTCTTGCGCTGTCCCTCAATCATCCTAGTCGCCAGTTTTTGTACATTTTCTATGCAGGTCACATCCTTTCTGAGATAAGGCGCCCATGCCTACACACATTACTCTATGTGAGGTCGTGTCACCACCTTATACAATGAGAGGAAAACCTCTGGTTTGGCGCTGCATGACGTTCTCTTGATACGGAATAATTTCTGCCGCTCCTTTTTGACGGCATGTTGACACTGTGCTGAAGCTCTGAAGGTATTCGTCATAATGATGCCCATATCCTGAGCTTCATCAACGAGCCGCAGTGTCGGGGTACCGGCATTAGTTTGCACTGTAACCCCATTGTTGCTGTAAAACAACAGACATTTACTGGCATTAAGGGGCTAATCCCATGAGGAAGACCATCTCGCTACACTGCAAAATTCTTTTGACAACGTGCTTCGATCACCCCTGTTTACAAGTTTTACATCGTCTGCAAAGACATAGCACTGGTTTTCGAGGAGTGGAGCCAAATCCTTCATATACAAAAGGAACAATAGCGGACCTAGTACAGAACCCTGAGGAATGCCACTATGAGCGGTACCATCACTTGAGCAGGAGTCACTGATTTTAACTCGAAATTTGTTGCAAAGAAATTCTGTTATTCAGTTCAACCACCGAAGCTGTATCCCAAATCATGACAGCTTTTCAAATAAGCAACGATGGTTGACGGAGTCAAAATCCTTGTTGAGGTTTAGATAGCAAACTTCGACTGCGATGCTGTTATCAAGACTGCGAGTTATCTCATATAAAAATATATGAATATTGGTAAGGCATGACTTCAGTTTGACGAAACCGTCTTTTTCCGCTCCTATCAACTTATGGGCAGTTGAGTGCCAACAAATCCGGTTCCTGATAAGCTTTTTAAGCATTTGAGCAAGACGCTAGTGAGGCTGACTGGCCTATGGTTTTCAGGGGCTGATTCAGAGCCCCCTTTGTGAATTGCTGCAACAGCTGTCTCCTTCCATTCTTGTGGAATCCTACCTTCCTGAATTGACATGTACAAATCCAATACGGAATACTGGATTATTGTAGCAAGCGGCGGGATAATAGCAGGATGCACATTATCAGGTTCAGCCGATTTGTAGGGGTCTAAGTATGTCAAGTCATCGAGGACCTCGGATGCACTTAGTGGGGCGTTTGACATTACACTCCTAACTTGGCGATGAGGCTGCGAGTAGATAGGACAGCCGCTATCAACACGAAATACCTTTTGAAAGGCACAGCACTACCTGTGCCCTACCCGCATTATCTGTAGCGTGGCAACCGTCCTCCATGATTAAGTAACCGCCTCCCTCTCTCAAGGAAGCCTTTGATTGAACATAAATATATCTTTGCATTTGTTTTCGAATTCTGGGCTAGCCTTAACTCATAGCGGTATTTTGCATGTCTCTTCGGTTTGACTGCGAAGTTTCGTGATCTTATCTAGCGTAACCAACGCTTAAACTCTCCGGTTTTCTGAAACCCACGAATTGTTATGCTTCTTTATCGCCCGACCAATTTGCTGACGCTACCAGCGGGGCTTATTCGGATGACCGCTATGGCGCAATGGAGAAAATCTGTCCAACAGTTGAACAAGTTCATCTTTGACTACATTCCATCGTTGTTCTAAAGTGGCTTTCACTTGTTCAGGAGCCCAGTTGGTCTGTAGAGCCCTATCCAATAACTGATTAGAGTTGATGCGGCCGAAATTTTTTAATAATCGAGATCTTGCCGACAATCTCTTGGTACTTGAAAATGTGAGAACGCAATTGTCGCTCTTACCTATGGGAACCTCTGCATATGTCTCTGACAGGTGACCATGCTTTGTTCTTACGACACCTAAGGTTGAAGGAAGGCATCCAATGCTTCTACGCTTCGGGAAGTTGACATGCTGGACAAAAGCATTCGCGTGCACTCATTCCACCACTTCTCCTTCCAAGGTATTTACAGTGCCATCAGCATGTTCCCAGTCCGTAAACAAGCTACTACGCTCTATACTCTACTCTACTCTACTGGTGTAAAGGAGAGGCTACGTTACACACATACTTATTTCTAGCCGACCCTCACATCTCAGGAAGCAAGAGACAACTTGTATATTTGATGCCTTCATGGAGAAGGGAGCCTCCCAATTCCGCTAATGGCTCTTGATAAGCGAAAGCACGCAAGCTTACAGCTTACTGACAGCTCTTCCCATTGATTCCTTATGCTGTAGCAATTGGCATATCACACTCAACCCCCCTCTTCCTTCTTTCCTCTCTGATACGTTAGTTTTGCGTTTCCCCGAGGGGATAACTCGATTTTTGAAGCACTGTTTAGATCATTCTCTATTCCGACAACCGAAGGCTGAAAAGCAAAAACGGGTTCTTGTGAGTCGCCGCGGGACATTCCGATTTCTCGGTCTTGATTTACTTCCTTTTCTGCCGGTTCCATCAACTCTACCCATTTAGTCAGGCCCAGCTACATTACACGGGCTGCCAGTATGGCGACTCCGCACGTTTATTTATCATGCTTGATGCCATCCAACATACGCTTGCATTTAGCCTCCATGGTGCTGTTCACCATAGATGATATCAAAGCTATCGCTGTTGACACCGCAGCTTCAGGCGATTTTGATCGCTTGCAGTTCGCGACTGAACTCAAGATGACAGCTTCACTCCTATTTTCTACCGTCGACAGTAGTCACGTTACCCAATAGGCCTACACGCTCAGTATTCACATACGGACCGATACCCATGATATAAATCCTGAGCGTTTTTATAATTCAATTGCTGGGCCGCAAACTGGTCGTCCTCTCGAGGTTCGACCGTGCAGGGCACTTGAGTAAGGGGAACAATCCTGCGCTGGTTAGGGCTCATTGTCACAACACTCCAGAGTAAGAATATCGCGAAGATGATTGCATTTCATCAGGGTACACTTTTAGTGCATTACTCAGTGATCTCACTGATTAGCTGCTCTGCCGCGTTAAGCCTTTGCATACAGTCCCCAATGGCAGCATCATCAGCAGGTGGAGCGATCTGTTGGGTGCGTACTATGCGCGAGCAAGTGTCAGCTAAGCACACACAATTAAAACACATCCATTTCAATTTAGGAATATGCGCTTATAATTCTGTGAACTCCTGATCCAACCTAGAACAGCTGTTGTGGTACCACAACAAACATCTATCACACTGGATTCCCTCTGTGACTGAAGTGCCACGGGCGTCCTCTCCGCACTTGTAAGTAACTTGGAAATCCATGATAAATACAAGATCATCAAATAAGCCTTAACTATGCTAAACGGGTTAATAAGTCGAAATACTAGCTAGTTGAATATTAGCACCAAAATTACGAATAATACCAAAAATGAACGAACTCACAGGCACCCAAGGATAAGCAGCGCGAAACACTACATGAAGCACGAAGATCCGACAGAAGCAAAATTCAAAGGAAGCAATGGCAAAGCTTGATCACGGTCTTGCTCCAGTCTTTTGCAGAGGCAAGGAGTCAATCCAATGTAGAAGTGCCGGGGATATGTTTCGC